AACCCTGCCTCTTCTTCCACTTCTTATTCAGAGTCTAAATCCTCCATATTAGAATGCCCTATTTTGGGAGAAGTGGACCCAATATCTACAGTACTGGAATCAGAAAAAGAAAGAAAGCACACAGGCCTTTACATATGAAGAGAAAGAAGCACTCCTGCCATGCATCACGGAAACCCTTTTGTGGCTGTGTTCAGGGCACCATTTCAGAATTCCAAGCCCGGAAACTTTGAGAACCTCTGCCCTAAAAAATTCTCTCTCTCTCTCTCTCTCTCTCTCTCTCTCTCTCTCTCTCTCTCTCTCGCACGCGCTCTGTCTCTCACATATACACACACACACAGCCATATAGTATGGCTGTAGTCCCATAGGGTTAACCCTGGTCAAGATATGGATGCAGTGGTGGTGTGGGGCAAGAGGGAATCAGACAGCAAAATAACCAGTTCTGAACTAAGTGGACCCAGACAAAGCAGACATACTGCCCAGATCAAGGAAAAATAACCCTAAGCAACTCAGAACACAATCCTTTGGCTGGTATCTTCCATGTTTGAAAGCCTCTCCACTCAGAGGCTTATGGCCATCCAGTGCAGAGCAGGGGAAACACTGAAGCTATCTTCACCTCCCTGCTGCTCCCTCTGCAGATGGCCAGTTTTGGCTGTCTAGCTGAAATGCTTTGGAGGGGGAGGGAAAGAGGATGGGGTGCAGTCTCCTCCTTTTCCAACCCTGAATGGTGCTCCTAACCTCAGAGAAGCAGCTGGTGTGATTCATTCCATGCTGGTTTCAATACCAGAAGTGGTGACCAGATCCCCAGCTCCGCAGTCAGAGCTCCAACCTTGGATCTGGGAATCCAAAGAACCCTAAGATCCCCTGGATGCTATCTAGGGGCCACAGGCTTGCTCTGTTATTCTACTGCCCCAGTTTAGACAATAACATCTTGGCATGGCTGCTGCTTTGTTCTCTTCACATGGGCAGTGAAACAAACCAAGAAACCACAGGTAATCATAGCTTCCTGTTACATCTGAACTGAAAAGTATGGTTAATGATTTCCAAGCAAATCAGAACAAATTAGAACACAGTTAAAACATGCCATTTCTATACTGAACAAAGCAGCAATTAAGAGTTCCTAAACCAATGTTAAACTCCTCAAAACACAATTCAATCATAAACTGTCCTATAAAGTAGGGTTTCAGAAGATTTACTGTGCCAATTTTTACTAAGCTTTCTGGTGGGCTTTTTAACAGAAGGTATTTACAAAACTTGCTATTTCAGTGAGGAGGGAAAAAAAGAGATCGAGAGAAACAAATGAATACATCTTTATGAAAAGAATAGCACAGAGAGCCTATATTCATTTTATTCACAGTACTCGTTATCAGTATTATGCATCAAAGGTCTCCAACTCCCTGATTTAAGCGCTTATGACATTTCTTGAAATGGTGTTGTTGCTCATATAATCAAATCTTCAGCTTCCCTAATATATTCATCAGTGATATGCAAAATACTGGCAGACACCAAAAAATATCCTTTAGCAAAGAAGATTTTTCAGAGCATGGAAACTGACCAGTGATTCTGTCAATATTTTTTAATAAGATGATTTGGAAAGATTAGATAGATCTAGGTGGATTTTAAGAAAAATATTGCCCAAAATAACACTAAAAGGAGAGGCCAAAAACTAACCTGTGTTTATGAGGGGAAAATGCATCTAAGAAAATGATGCTTCTTCAAATGAAAAATGAGTAAAGGAAATTAAACTCCGAGAAAAAGACAAATTTTGAGTCAAGTGCTACAGGTGCTGTGTAGTATCTGCCACACTACAAATAATATCCTGGAAAGTGTGAAAATATTTTTAAAGAAACCTTTTAGAGCCACGATGTACAAGTCCCAAACTGTCTATAACAAAGAGCTTCCATTAAGGCTAAAATTTTAAGTCATTCAACCTTGAAGCATTTAAGTATACCTGGGCTGTTGATTAAACTGAGAAATTAATAGAAGCAGTTTCTATGCAAATATCTTCACTTGGACTGGTAAGCAAAGGACAGGATTTTCTAAATTGGAGGTGCAGAGCCCTCCCTTTGTTTACATGAATAGAACTCCCTTATCCAGAGCCCAATTTACATTTTACAGCCTACAATAAATCCACTTTTTTGCCAGGTATGGAAAACAAGGGCCAAAAAAAGTCTTCTATTTTGGCCATCAAGAAGGAGGGAGTTTGCATTGTACTACTTAAGAGAATCATCCTATGGCCCCTAGACATCATCTGGCAGGCCATAGGATACCTCCATTTCCCAGATCTAACATCTGCATTCTTTGTTCTCTCTCCACCTCACAACAGGCACAGAAGGAATTGGAACAGTGCCTTCTCTGGAGGTTTTCCGGAGAGGCAAGGAAGGGAAGGAAGACTGCAGAAGCTAGGCTATGAGGTAGCCAAAATTTGGGAGGGAAAGGGTGGGGGGATCTAACTAAAAAGCAGAATGGGAGGAGCAGGGAGACAGATACTAGCTCTGCTGAGGCTCCCACTTTGCACAGTATGATGCTAAACCTTACAACAGATAGAATTGTGCTGTAGTTTAAGTTGCCAGGAAGCCTGTGAGTGGGTTTTTGAAATCTGCCTTTCACTTCCCTCAACATGTCCACCACTCCATTTCCCAAGCTCCACTTGCAGCAGACTGGCCTCTCACTCTCTTTTTACACATCTTTTGATTCAGATAACAAAACACTGAGCTGTGAATGGGAACTGATGCACGGACGGCATATACTTTGTGCAAATGTTTCCCTTGCCATATAAAGGGAATGTGATGAGCGCATTTCCAGTATTTACAGGTCACGAATTGTAGCAGTGCTTGAAGTCCCATAGAGCCTTCCCCCTCCCGGTGCTCTCCAATGACTATGCTGGCTGACCAGAACAGAGGTTGCTGTTCTATGCACCTGGAAAATATGGGCTGGAGTAGGCTGCCATACGAAGTCCAGAACTACATTTTATCCTTTCTGCTTGCCTTCCAGCCAAGGTCTTCATCAAAGCCTTTTTTCTGTGTCTGTGCATGTGTGTGTGTGTATCTTCCTTCTGAAGTTAGGTTCATAGCATCTTACAAAGAACCTTACCTGTACTGGTACCTCAACTCTGAAAGTACCGTATTTTTCCGTGTATAAGACGCTACTTTTTCTTTAAAATATTTACTTCAAAATGGAGGGGCGTCTTATACAAGGGGGGGCACAGAGGAGAACTGCTGTTGCACTGGGGGGGGAGACTGGCGCAACTGTGGGCGCACTGGGGAGGTGGCAAGACAGTGCGCACACGCGAGGGGGGAGCAGCGAGGCGGAGGGGAGGCAGGGGGGTGGCAACGCACCCACAGGGGGAGCAGTGAGGCGGGAGAGGCAGCGAGGCGGCGTGCATGCGCACGGGGGGGCGAGGTGGGGCGCACGGGAGGGAGCGGTGAGGCGGCATGCGGGGGCAGCGAGCGCAGCAGCAGCTTGCTCACTCGGAGATGGGTAAGAAAAGTGGGGGGTGTCCTGTACATGGGGGCGTCGTATAGACAGAAAAAAACGGTACATTTTCAGACACATTTCCTTGGAGCTATTATCACCACCTACCTGACCTCAGACTAGGTCTATCATGTTTACCCAAACTTTAACTGCAATTGATATCCAGTGGCCAAGAAGTGCTTTTAATATCTGTATTATTGTTTATTTTTACATTTATTTATTTATTGCTTCTATATGCTGTTCAACAGCTGTTCACACATGGCTCCTAGAATGGTTTACAGAAAAGCAATGCTAAAAAATATAGATGTTCATAGTTACAATAATACGATATCCTACAAGTATTTCATCATTAAGAACATCAAAATAAACACAGTTGCAAAGGGCCATTGTAAATAAATCTATCAGCTGTCAATTTACCAATTTCTTGTCCTTATTTTACCCACATATCAACGGTGGCCACATGATAGCAATTCTGCTTAGCACAACAGTAACATTAAGTTTAAATAGTTAAATGAATTCAAATAATTAATAAATGGAACAAAAATACTCAAAATAAAGAAAAAATAATAAAATACATAAATTGTAAAGGTAATTATTCCACAGCAGACACAATTACGATAAAATATAAAAGTAAAAACATTCCAACAATTAAAGCATTGAGAAAATAAAAAGGCCTTGGCCTGGTGCCAAAAAGTATACAGCATCAGTGCCAGGTGCACCTCTGGGAGCTGGTTCCATAATCTGGGCACCACAGAAGAAGGCCCTCCCCATAGTAGCCACATTCCTTACTTCCCAGAGAGGCAGCTCCCAAAAAAGGACCTCCACTGCTGACCTTAGGGGTTGGGCAGATATATATGGGAGAAGGCATTCCTTCAGATATACAGGCCCTAAGCCGATTAGGGCTTTATTTGCCATTGCAAGCACCTTAAAGGGCCTGGAACTCAACCATTTGAGCTGATAAAGTGCTATATGATCCCGCCTAGAAGTACCTGTTAATAGGCAGCCAGTCCCATTTTGAACCAGCTGAAGCTTAATTCTAGTAACTGTTTTTCAATTTGTTCACTGTTAATTATTTACTGTTGATATTTACTGTTTTAAATGAGTGTTTTGAACTACCCTGAAGGGAAAAACAAGTCAAAATATAAAGGTCCAATATGAAAAGCATGCTGGATTAGATTCATCAAAGATTTTTCTTCCTGAGAGCTTTAACACCAATACAAATTTTAACTTCTTAAAGCGTTCTCCAATGACTTCCATATTCAATTTACAGGAACTGCTTCTTACAAAGATGAATTGCCAGTGGCTATAACCAGCACTAATTGTTATTTATCTAGATGGACAACCTAAATAATTTGGAACAATTGGCCCTGGACTTCAGCCAAAAATACTTGCCTGAAAAATACTTACTATTCACAACAGAAATCAATGGGGCTATGAAGTGAATAATGGAATACTCAATATGAATGAGACTAAAGATGGGTAGGATAATTAGTTGATTAAAGCCACTAATTAGCACCATGCTCACTTACCCTGTTCAGACAGTAGTTGCTGTTCGTCTTGTACAGATGCTGAAGGCATTTCATGTTTTGTTTGTCTACAATCTTGCCAAAGAATTCATCAATGATTTTGATAGGGACTGCACAGACAGCAGATTTATGAATTGGTTCGGAAGAGTCTGGTTTACTTTGAGCAAAAGCACCATATAAAATATCTGCGTTCACATCGAGACCCATTTCCCGGGCTAAGGCTGCACCCGGCTTACCAATATACGCAGCCTGCAAAAGATTGAATACCTCATTTGACCGCTTGCTTGACCTCTTCCTACGTTTTTCAGTGTAAATGCATTCAAGGGGCATTTCCATGTATGAGCGCAACTCGGAATCAAAAGAACAGAACCGTATGATCCTTGTGTGAAAAGCCTGGGAGTCTAGAGATTCTCTCTGGACAGTGAGAAAGTACACAAAGTGGTCCTTTTCAAAGGCATGAATATACTTAATGGGGTATGAATCCCTGAATTCTGGAAGGATATCAATATACGAGTAAGCCGTGAGAAACTCAAACCCATCCAGACTTTCTTTTAATCTCCGAACTGATATTGAATGCAGCAAATTGTCTTGCTGAGATGAATTATTTACTGTATTCCCAACATAGAAGTATACAAATCTTTCCTTTTCTGTTACCAGAACTTTAGTTCCTAGAGGGCTTACAACACAGTCAGGACACTGGTCTGATTCCTTATCAATCACTTTTGGATACATACAGTGCACTGTATGTCCAATGTCAGCAGGATTATCCAGATGAATGACATGGCGTTGGCACGTTCCTTTTGCGACGCTCCCACAGCTGATGAGTTGATGATTGTAGTATGTTTCTAAGAGCAATGCCATGTTGGTATTATCCTTCCAGATATTCGCAGATTGATTTATGTTAGGTCTACATTCTTCACAGGGAGCACAATCCGGGTTTGCCAAAACAGGTCCGGTCTGATACACAAAGATGTTGTGAAGGCTTTCATTTAAGACATAGATTTTGTTGACTGCTCCAACATAGATGTGGTGCTTGTACAGAACTATATTTTGTACTGGGGTTTCTGCAGTGAAATTGGGGAGCTGATATTTGACATTCAGATTTATCTCTTGCTTTGAACCTGCTTCTTTACATTTACTGTCATTCTTCTGAACCAAGGTGAACAGAAATAAAATCATCCCTGAGGCAGAAATAGCAAAGGGCTTCATTACTGCAGATTTAACCTGTCAAAAGATATTTTAAGAAAGGTTAATAAAGCACATAATGAATCAACATAAATTTACATATGAACTATACAAGATTTTTTTTATATATACCAAAGGGCAACCCCATGAGATACAAGCTACAGGAACTGGAACTTCAGTGAGAAAAAGCAGCAACAAGAAACCTATCATTCTCCTGAGGCAGTACAGATTTTCCTGTTATCCCTGAAGTCTTCTGCCTCTTCTAGCCCTGTAAAGACCAGCCTGGACTTTAAAAATCCCTAGTAAATTTGTATTAAAGGAATATCGCTTGCCAACACAGGGAATTTAATTAAACAATTTTTGCTACAAAAGTTTCACATGAAAGCCCATTATGAATATGACCCTTTAAAAAAGAGTTAATATATTAAACAGCCATTTTATACACAGATCCTTTAATATAGAATGCATTGTATAATATACTGAAATATAACATAAGAAAGTATTTCATTAAATTAATTTGGAAAAAAACTTGCTTTACATCAAATAATTAAGGGAGCAGTTTTAAAAATGGAACTATTATATATTTATTTTATTAATTTATAAACCACACATGAATCCAAAATTGCTTTCAGGCTAGTTTAGGTATTAAAATATAGTCTTCATAGTATTTCACCTCATAAAATGGCAATATGCCAGTTAGTATTATGAACCTTTTCTTCTTCTTTTGATGAGGAACATACTTTTTTTTGTTTTTTAAATAAGAAGAAATGTTTTCAAATTGTGTGGGAATTTATTTCTCTCTTCTATTGCTATTTAATTCCAGGTGCGTTTGAGGATATCTTTACTCATTTATTGAAATACGAGGGGAGTTCAATGTATTCTCGGTATCGGGTTGATTTGCTATTGATGTGGGTAATTTAATTATTTCATTAGCTAATGACACTATCTGAGGGTATACATGCAAAATTTCAAATTAGTGTGATCATTAGTTCCCTAGTAACCCTCAGTGAAAGATGACCATGATGATTGACAATGTTGAAGAAAATTGAGCACCACGCTGTGATTAAGTTTCTTACAAAACAAGGAAAAAGTCAACAAATCGTTCACGAAGAGATGGTGGCCGTTTACCAGGACTCTGCACCTTCATTATCTACTGTTCAAAAGTGGTCAAGTTAATTTAAAAGGGGCAGAGAAAGCATTGAAGACGACCCTCGCTCGGGCGGGCCGGTTACTGCCACTACAAAAGAAAATGTGAAAAAAATTGAGAAACTTGTATTGGAAGATGCCCGAATAAAAATCAAAATGTTAGCAGAGATGACAAACCTATCCGTTGGTACCATATTTACTATTTTTCATGACCATTTTAACCTTTCAAAGGTCTGTGCAAGACGGGTGCCGCGAATACTCATGGCACCTCAGAAACAAGTGCAAGTTGAGTGCTGTAGGGAGTTTTTAGAGCTCTGTGGTGAAGATCCATCGAGTATTTTGACCGGATTGTTACTGGAGATGAAACTTGGGTTCATCACTATGACCCTGAAAGTAAGCAGGAGTCCATGCAGTGGCATAAAAAAGGTGCTGACCCTCTGAAGAAATTCAAAGTCACTCCATCGGCTGGAAAAATCATGGCCACAGTGTTTTGGGACTCAAAGGGAATTTTATTGATCGAGTACACAAAAAAGGTGAAACCATAAACACAGCATCTTACATAACCACTCTGCTTAATTTAAGAGACAATTAAAGAAAAAAGGCAGGGAAAACTGACCACAGGTGTGTTACTTCTTCACAATAACATGCCCGTTCACACGGCGTGTGTTTCAAAGGCTGCTGTGCGAGACTGTCTGTTTCGAAGAAATAAACCATCCACCCTATAGCCCGGACCTGGCCCCCAGTGACTACTATCTATTCCTGAATTTAAAAAAAAGATCTTTGTGGAAAGTGATTTTCAGACGATGAAGAGCTCAAGACAGCAATTAACGCACATTTTTTAGACAAGGGTATTTTTTACAGGGAACTGAAAAGTTAATTTCTAAATGTAATAAATGTATTGAAGTTATGGGGGATTAAATTGAAAAATAAAAATTATTTCAATTTATTATTCCTTTTTCTTCATGCTGATACCGAGAATACATTGAACACCCCTCGTACATTTTTTAAAATACATTTTTTCAACTGATTTATTTTGTTGAGATTAAGCTCATTTTTTCCAGTTGCTTTGGAAGGCCTTTAGAATCCACAGGCAAAACTCAGACAAAGAACTAACAAGCTAATTTGGTCAACCAAGAGTCCAACCTAGCAAATTTCTTTCTTTTTATTCATTTTTGATGTGGTTTTCAGACTCAAAGGACTCATGACTATGGTGATATTTAAAATTCTGATGTGGACAGTAAATCAATTGTGGTTGAAGAAATAGGTTTTTCACCAGCTTGCAACATTATAGAACAAGTCACACCAGACATTGTTCTATTGATACTTAGGCACAGTTGCTAAGCTAAATTTAGTTTCCTTGGAGGAAAACAATTAAACAATCCAAAAGGAATATGACCATATGCTGTTTACAGGATTGTGCGGAAAATATTATTTAGCTACAGATGAATACTATTGTTACCAAGGTACAAATGCTCATAGTAAGAAACTCAACAGCATCTTTGATCTCTAGAAATTTTAAACTGGGCTTTAGCAAAAATTATCAAAAGCCTCATATTAGGAATACTAACTGTACAATTTTTGCTTAAATGGCTTACTGGCTTGGATCCAAAGACCTGCTCACACCAGCAAAATGCTCTTCTGTTCACTCAAGCCTAACATCTCTGACTTCCACTGAATCCCCTCTCATTACTTGGAACTTCTCAAACTGCCTTTCTGGTCATTCTGAAGGCACTCTGAAAGTACCACCAGCAGCAGCTCAGGGCCCAGGAATGGAACATGGGAGCTCAATTGCTCACGTGGTTCTTTGGTTCCAAGTCACAATTTTACAATTAATACCTTTTTGCATTGGTTAAGCTGTGACAAAATTCAAATTATTTGATTTATAGACACTGATGTATCCTATTAGATCAGTAAATATTGCATTCTTTCTCTCAAAGCACGCGCTATTAATCTGCACAGACAGGAAGGTTTTGCAGAAGTAATCTATACAGGTCCTTACCTGCTGATCATCTGTCAAAGCAGGTCAAAATTGTACAAGGGGCGAGAAGGAGAAAATAAAGTATTTTGAACTGTTAAAGCTTTATAAGCCATGTGGAAGGGCAGACTGACCTATCTAAGCAAATAATGTCAATGTAACCAAAATTAAGAAACTGTAAGAGCCACAAAAAGGATGAATCCACTCAGTACTTGGGAAAACATCAAATATTATTATAGGAGAGGATGTCATCCAAGAGCCACTCGTGACAACAGGAAACGTGATGCTCCTGAATGAACATTATTTTTTAAAAAAACCAAAAACTATGTATCATATTATTAAGATCCACATTGCTGTCCCCCTGGCCCGCCCTGTTTTCTAGGATAGATGCAAATTCCCATTCTCCATTTGGTATTTCTTAACTAGGTATATCAATAGCACTTTAAGCTTACTTGGTTACCCAAAAAATCATGTGGGAAGGGCCACAGTTCAGATCAACAGCATGCAGAAGGTCCCCAGCTTCAATTGGCAGCAACATTTCAAGGTACGTTGGGGAGAAAACCAATCTAAAAGAGTGGAGAGTTCCTCCTGTTAGAATAGGCTATCTTCCCCCACCCTGATGCTCACCAGATGTTTTGGAACACAACTCAGCATTCTTGAAAATTGGTTGTGCTGGCTGGGGCTGCTGAGATTTGAAGTCCAAAACACCTGGAAGGGATGAGATTGGGGGAGGCTAGAGTACACCACACTGAGCTAAATGGATCAATTATCTGATTCAGTAGATGGCATCTTCCCAACTAATCACAGTATTTTCCTTTTGTCAAGAGCAGCAGGCTAGAAGTGACTTGTTTGGGATAATGTTGAGAAACTAAATACTGAACTTAAAACGTTTATGTCAAAGCTCATAATCCACTCTGTTGGCCGAATGTTTTATGTATCTGAGTAACCTAAATGCCCATCTGTAGTGGGTGGGGTGGAGGTAGAGTGAAGTATCCACAGCAGGTGGAGTCAAGACAGCAACCCATTTCTTAGAAAAGGGACATGGAGAGAATAACTTTGATTTCATGCCTACAAAGTAGGGGAGGGGCCTCTGACCCACAGAAATATAGTGCAGCGCTCCTCTGAGAGTTGCTGGGGTGGTTTGTGCAAGCACTGCTGCTTCACTAAAGACTTCCATGGTTGGCTACTGGCATTCCACCTGGACACTTATCTCCCAGAGTAACAGCCTGTGCCCTTGACTGGCTCTGGCCACCGGCGATGACCATGCATGGGAACCACACTGCCACACTGCATGCCTGCGAAGTCCCTAGTATCATTCTAAGCACATGCTTGTACTGTGCGTGCGCGACGGACAAATGAGAGGAATGGAACTTGGCTCCTGGAGATTGGAGTAAGCGTGGCAACAACCATGATGCAAAAGTTTGCTGGGTGAGCTGTTGCTGGTGGGGTGGGGAGAGGGGAGGGGGAATGTCCTAGGCAAGGGAGTGCTCTGACAGAGTATTGGTTGGTGACCCTCATAAGAAATCACCCTCGATACATGGGGACATTTTAATCTCTTTATCATTCTCTTCTTAGACACCTGAAGTAAGAAAAAAAAAAGCTGTAAACAGATCATGTTCTGCGCAACAAAAAGAGAGTTGGCAGAAATAGCAAAGCATAACCATGCAAGCAGAACAAACTACAGTGCATGAAAAACTAGAAGTAGATGTTGCACACCATTGCTAGAGGTTATAAACAGCTCAATCGTCTGGCTTTTCCTGATAGTTGCTATTATTATTTATATTGGATCATCTCAGTCACACCATTCTATTTCTTTTGTTTATGGCCACTTTCAGGCATATCGATGTCTGCTAAGCCATGGAATATGGATATCTCACACTTGCACATGGTATTATCTAGGCGAGCTATTAGCTTTTAT